GACGTCGAGCGAGCCCCACCGCCTCCACCCCCCCTTGGGGAGGCCCGAAACGGTAGAAGAACGTAAGGAGCTCTCCTTCTCTGCCTCGTCCTCCTGCGTCGATGGCGATGTTGGCGTTGGCGGGAAACCGACGCCGACAACGACGACGACGGCGACGACGAGGACAATGACGAAGAGGAAGACGATGACGACGAAAACGACGACGGCGACGGCGACGGCGACGGCGACGGCGACGGCGACGGCGACGACGACGACGACGACGGCAATGGCAACGACGATGGTGACGAGGATGGCGACGACGACGACTACAACGACGGCGATGGCGACGACGGCGGCGACGAGGAGGGCGACGACGACGACGGCGATGGCGACGACGGTGGGGATGACGGTGGCGACGACGACGACGACGACGACGACGGCGACGGCGACTAGGAGCACGACGAGGATGGCTTGAGGCACGACGACGACATCCCCGAGACACCCGGAGGCCTCCCGAGAGAAGCCTCTGGCGCCCGAGAAGCCTGATCGCCCGAGGCTCCAACATACCAAGCTCGAGCACGCCCGGCACGTTCGTCGGCGCGCGTGCTGCTCGTGCCGATCTCGGGGACCCCTGGGGATCCCAGAGATCCCACGCAAGGGAAGCAAAAATCACGACGGAAGTTTTCCGCGACTTCCGGCCCCTTTCGGGGCCCTGACCGGGCCTCGGGGCCGTGAGACATCGGAGCTCCGTGCTGGTGCCCGAGAGACCTCCTGAGGCCCAGAGAGGCGCGCACAGACCGCGGCGAAAGACGGCGACGTCGACAGCGGCGAGGGGCCTCGGAGCGGCAGCCTCCGGACGCTGCAGGCGACGACTCCTGCGGCGGCTGCCCCCCCCCGCCCTCCTCACCACCTCCGCCGCACTTTCCTTGGCCTGCGGCCGTCCTCGCCAGACCCCCCCGCGTAGTGTTTGGTCGGGCATGTCCTCCTACAGGCGGATTCGGAATGACAAGCGAGCAATAGTCAGGAACATAATCAACAATAGAGCGATCGCACGACTCCCCCAATGCGCTCCAGGGAGCGCCCCTAGGGCGCCCTTCAGCGCGCTCCCAGGGCGCCCGAAGTGGGGCCCCAGGGTTCCCCAGGGAGCGTGCCCAGGGCGTACGGGGAGCGCTCGCAAGGAGCGTTCGCAGGGCGCCCCCAGCAAATCCCCAGGAAACGTGCCCAGGAGCGCCCCCGCTCCACGGGAGCGCACCCAGGGCGATCCCAGTGAGCCCCCCAGTGCGCTCCAGCATGGCGCACTCGAGGGCGCGCCCCCAGGGCGCTCACAAAACGCTCCCGTGGCCAGGGAGCGCTCACAGGGCGCTGCCAGTGAGCTCCCAGGGAACGTGCCCCGAGCGCTGCCAGGGCGCGTCCACGGCGTCCCCAGGGAGCGCTCCCGGGGCGCTCCAGATGCGCTGCCAGGGCGCCCGCCCCTATGGCATATGGCACCCTGAAGGGCGCCCCCAATGCACCCCAAGGAGCGCCTCCAGTGTGACCCCAGCGACCCCCCCCGAGCGCGATCCCAGTGCACCCCAGGGAGCGCTCCCAGTGTGACCCCAGCGCCTCCCCCCAGCGCGATCCCAATGCGCTCCAGGGACCGTGCCCAGGGCGCACCGGGAGCGCCCCCCGAACGCTTGCGGGGAGCGTGCCCAGTGCGCCACCAAGGGTAGAGAGGCATGCGCCTTCCCCTCCCCCTGTTGCGCCCTCCCTCCCCCGCCCAATTGCGCCGTTGGCTGCGCTTCCGTCCGCTCTGTTGCGCCCCCCCCCGGCGCTTCCGCTCGAGCGTTGTGCAGTTGCGGTTGCGAGCCCCCCCCCCCCCCGCAACTCCTCCTGGGGACAACAACAACAACAACAACAACAACAACACAACAACAACAACAACAACAACAACAACAACAACAACAACAACAACAACAACACAATAGCAGCAACAACAACAACAACATCAAAAGCAACACCACAACAACGACAACGACCGACACGCAACAACAACGACAACGACAAACGACAACGACAACGACAAACCGACAACGAGATAAACAACACAACAACAACAACAACAACAACAACTACTACTACAAGTGCAACAGCAACAACGAAACCAACAAGTACAACAATAACAACACTAACGACAACAACACCAACAACAACAACGCATCAAGCATAACCGTCACCACATATTCTCAATTCAGCCACGCACCCAGGGACAATGAATGACCGTTCGCCCCCCTCACTCTGACAATGAGAGAGAGAGAGAGAAACCAAGAAAGAAGAACAACACAACAACGATAAATAGAGAAAGAGAGAAAGACCGTACTTTCGAGCTCGACTAGGGCGGGAGGAAGGCCGATTGAGCCACCTGCGGAAAACTTCATACAATCTACCTGTTGGGACCTTCTCTGGTGAACTGGAGCAGCGTGTCTCGCCGAAGCAGCGTGGGCCAGAACGGGCGGAGCCACACGCTGAGCCAACATTCCCGACC